TTTTTTTTTGGTCAAAACAGGACAATAGATGCTTCGTATTGTTCTTTTCCATTCTTTTCCAATGACACTATACATCAAAATGAAAGACAATCGTTCTCAAAAGTAAAACAATGGAATCAAAAAAGGCTGTTATTAATGGCATTATTTTTCCTTTTTTTTTGTTTGAAGTACAATTAATACACGTAAAAGAAATACTGCAATTCATAGTGATAAAGTTGAGACTAAAAGTGAACAAACAACAAGAAACCAAGCATCTAAAAACAAAATTGCCGACAATGATGATGCCGACGGCGACGACGACAGTATTAAAGTTGTTCAGAATATGTAGAAAAAAAAGTTTACAGGGCAGTTATTGTAGGCCAACATTTTGATTTCTATGAACCGTCGCCAACATAAAGCACCCTTAAGAGCTGAACATAATATTTGTAAAAAAAGAGATTCAAAAAACAAAAAAAAAAAGTCAACATTTTTAAAATCACCTCATCAAATCCCCTCTTCTCCTGTTCCCTCCTATCACCAAAAGAACAGCCATCTCTAAAAGTTTATACCGCAGAAAACATATTTATGACCAGTTATATACAGTTGAGTAAATCCGTATGGCATACGGTTGTAAATGTTGATATTTATCAAAAAAGTGCATATTATAATTTGGTGAAGATCGCTGTAAATCATCGGCAAAGACCGAAGTAAATCCACTGATGTATAACTAAAAATGGCATAAGATACCAAGAAAAAAAAATTTTAATCTACCAAAACAGTTACAGCCTCTTTGATGTCAATTAAATTTTTCAAATAAGACTACAAAAATATTATCGATTAAATGGTATCAGAAAAAATATCAAATTTTAAATTATAGAAATAAGCACTTTAAAATTAATGAGTGACCAAATTGAGAAAAAAAATAGAAAGTTTTACTTCAAAAAACTGTCTCCCTCTTTTTTAGTCACCCTCAAAAAGGACAACAATTTCCGACTTATTTATTTTTTAACCCCGTAATGTTTGACAAGTGAACTGCTTTTATGCACTAAACATCTACCATCAATGTAGTATGTATTCATTGCAACAGTACTGCAAAAAGTCAACACTGTACCTGCAGACCGATACTATTCGATCAGCCAATTGCAAAAAAAAAAACCCCCTTGCAAAATTTTTGGTTCCTGATTTGCTAAAATTTTTACACCACATCACTGTTTATTCTACAGATTACTAAATTATTGATGACGTATTTTCAGCCTCCATATAATAGCACTAGCAAAAATATACACCGCTATACATCGATTAATAAATAAAACAATTTTTTTTTCCTTGTTAATGTATACGAAACGTCTCTGTATGAAGGGACCCAAATTTAAAAACCACTGAAAAGCACTGAACACCTTTTGCTTGTATTTCACTTACAACCTCTTAGCAGAACAGTATAAACAGATATCAAGACTAAGATTGCACCGATCCCATATACGAGCTTTCAATTTTATGGCCAGGATACAAATGCGTCAAACATCGACTAATTACTTAAGTAACTGCAGCTGAAAACCTTACAGCCTAAAAACGGTCTTCAACATACATTGCTGAAATTGAGCAGCATAATTTATGGTCTTTTAAAAGTTTTTTTTGAATAAAAAAAAATTAGATGTGTTTGCACTGTGACAATTATACAATTTCCCCAAATTCCAACAAATTGATAGTTTTCTGTAAAAAAAATTCGAGATTTTTGTTTGGCATTTTCATCTCTTCCACTCAGTTTGTTGTATAACCTGAAAAATACTGTCAAAGTATTAAACATCTTTTAAACTGATCATATATCTGATAAATGTATGTAGTTCAATGAAGCAGAATTATGATTTGCTCAGTAAACATGTAAACTGCAACCGATATTGAAATTTACACGGTACAGTTGGAAAAAGAAACGGCAAAACAACTACGGTCGATTTCTGTAACCGACATTATCCAATTTCAACATTGAAAACAATATAAAGAAGTATCAAAATTTTTTTTCAAAACCAAAAAACTCCTCCATTAACGTTTCCTTGCGTTTATCGGTTTTTATACTATTTCTAAAGTTTTTTCTCTCAACAGATGCGCGTATTCGAACATGTCATCAAAAAAAAAAAAAAAAACATCTTCAATAAATTACTTCGTGTTTACTCCACTCATACCTACCCGCCATTTACCCAATAAGTTCAGAAGATGAGATAATTAAGAGTACAAAGTGATGCATTCAGTACAGGTTTTTTCAACGTAACAAAGACAAAATTGTATTCCTTTTGGTCACTTAAAACGATAACACTATGCATTATTTGGAACTGGCAAAAAACAGGCGACAACAGCAAGCTTTGGAACTATCGATTAGCAATTTGCACACATCTATTAACCGGGCACTAACTTGCAAAAAGTCTACCACATACATCTACAGTAGTCAAAAACCCCTCCGAAAATCCATGCGCGTTTACTTCCGTGATAAACTTTAAAAGCACCCTTCAAAAGCACAACCACTGCTGTAAGCCTTTCCAATTTCCACTAACAAATGTTTTGAATAAACTCTCGTAACCAGACTCCCAAGCAAAACGAAACTGTAAGCAGTTATTATAAACTGGCAAAGTTATGAATCCTAAAACTCAGCAATATTCAACGAAAACCTGATAAGTTTTACAATTAGACGTATCGCCGACGAGTACACGTTCAAGTGTGTTGCCAAAAACGTCGACAGAAAATAAAAAAGAAAAAAATAAACTTAAAATGAACATCTTTCTTCCAGCGGTTAACAATTTACCTTAAACGAAGAAGAACAACGTGAATTTTTAAACGTTTAAGGACTGAAACACGACTTGTCTATGACGGAACTGTTGTTTTTCCGTTGAAAAACCTAAACCAACAAAAGTAAACAAGCGCTCCGTCGTCTCTTATTTATTTAAAGATATTACGTCATCAGTGCTGTTCGCTAGTTTAGCTTAGCCTTGGAAATGTTCTAGTCTTCAAAAATTTGCCACATAAAAATTAATTTGATTAGTATTTTGCCTATATCACAAATCTTTTGCCGTCTTTTTTTTTTTGCATCACAGAAGAAAACTGATATATATACCATCAGTTTGTCATAGCTTCTGTAAAGACTAATCTCCATTTTTTTAATACCTTTCTCGTAGTTTAAATTTACTTTGATTAAAGACAACGGATACTGCTGCCATATGACAGCGGAGCAAAATCACAATAATCACTTAACTTTTACAATATCAATACATTTTTGCTGTAGTATCAGACTGCTGTAAACTACCTCGTAGTGAGAAGTTCAAACGCTGGCAACGTTTCAAAAAAGTGCTCACGCACTCCATCTACCTCTCTATACAAATCGAAATTGTCTCCATATGCGGCAAGAATGCCAATCTTTTCTGCATATTAGCTTCCGAGACAAGATTTGGTTATAATTTAGTTTTGGTAGAGATATACAGCATTTTTCAGGCATAGTATCAGCGTCAAAAAGAAAAGCTGACTGGTATTAACGAAGAGAATTGGAATTTCTTTGCAGATGAAAATCCATACTGGAGAACGCCTATTCTGTTCCTTTTTCTGGTTTTTTGTGTGTTTGAAAAACTGAATTTTAGCTTCTATATAACGTTTTCGGGAACTATAATTGGGTTTGTCGTAGATTTTCCCAATTTCCTGTACAGCTCTAATCTTTTTACTACTGTTAGATAAATTCTAGACGATGCATAAGTGCTTGGAAGAAGCAGTTTTACGAGTGGCTTTACGGAATAATCTTATTGACGTCGTTAAACAACTGCACGACTATCTTAGCGAACCGTTGCATTTGGAATATGCTTTTTATGTTATCAAACAAATAATTCGAAAACGAGCTTTCGAAAAATATGATCTTATCAATGATCTGCTAGAACATATTTGCCAAACTGACATACCTTCAACTAGCCAACAGAACAAACTTTTACGTATTCAGCGTTCAGCATGTTCTATTGTAAGCAGTTTTACGTGTTTTTAGAGCATTAGTTTTGATCATTCAATTCTGTGCTGCACAAAATTCCACTCAGAAGCTTACAGACGTTAACCACTTATCGCTCTTGAGACTTCTAATACTTATGAATTAATTTGTAGTAGTTTACATGCTAACCCTTACTTCTTATAGATTTTAATGAGTGATGTTGCTGGTGTGCGAAAAGCAAACCCTGCACCATTAACAGTTGAGGAAGTAGTGCAAAAAATGAAACGGCTTCTTCCGAACACAAACAAGTATCCTGTATGTTCGCCTTCTTAATCGGCAGCAACGTTAAATGCCTTTAAACACCATACCCTTCAGGAAACCTTCCAGT